TATACTATATTTAAAATAAATGCCTTTTGACATTTTTCTCAAACATTTTCGATATTTTGTGACATTTAAGCGATTTTAATCGTCATTTTTTTTATTTTAATTGTTCAAATACTTTCTGGGGATGAATGTTTATATTTATTCGCCCACCTGTAGCCTACTTAAGTAAGTAGAAAGTAGAGAACTGCCCAGATATCCACCTTGTAGATTATCAACCTCAACCGCGCCCATGTTTTCTCCGCCCAGTCAGTGTATATGGACTGCAATGTTGTAATGTGACAGTGTGTGAGCCGTTAAAGAGCTTCTATCATTGTGGGGTTTTTTTCTGCCATTGTTGACGACGTGACAAGAACTAGGCTGTGAACGCGTTCTAGTTCTGTCGCGTCGCCGTCAGTGCGCGAGCCGGATCAAAGGTCGAACCCGAGCTTTCAGCGCAGCTGCACCGTAAGCAGAGACCTGCTGGCTGGCACTCTTTAACTCGAGTGGTCTAACTAACTTATCGTAGCTATCGCTGGGGCGAGGCTTTGACATCATATATCGAAAATGACTCAGAAATGAGTCTCTAGCGCTCACTGTTCAGATCGGTCGCGAGCGCAGCGCGGGTCTCTGGTTTTTTCTTAAGCTGGTCCTCACACAAGACTGACAATGCCTAAGCCTGTAAGTAGTTCGTTTCTTTTTATTAAAAACATAACGGTTTATTACATGAACAAAACGAGATTACAGTGCCATTAAAGAGAACAATCATGTGAATTATCTGTATTAGCCTACACACGGATTTAGGGAATGATCTTTCTAGTGTACAGTATCCCATATATTAATCCTTATGCTTATGTCTAGAAAAATGTATGTTTATTGTTGATACATTTGTAGAATCCTGACTTGTTTAGAGTTGTGACAGGCTACAACAGGCCTCTGTCATAAAGACTCCCACATTAAAAAAAGTTTCATAGCTGAACCTTAGTTTCGTATATTGTATTTAATATTTTTGTAATGTGTTCTGATTGACAAAATCCATGATGTTAAAAGAAAGGAGAGTCTTTAGTAGTTAAATCAAGATAAAGCTGCAATTTATTACTATATTGCCTCCATATAATTAAAAAAAAATTGTAAACATGTTATTAATGCCTATAATTAGTGTTTATACTTTAAATTATATTATAATTTTTATATTTCAGGTTGTAGTGATTACCTCAAACTTTAGAAGGATAGACTACTAACTATTAATTTGATGGTTAACATGCTTGAGTACGAGTCTTTACACATTAACTAGACTTATTGAGGATGAGTTCATGCCGCAAAAGTAAAGATTAGCTAGATGCAGATTGTGCTGCTGTGAACATACTTTTGACTTTAGTATTTGAATACCAGGATGTGATGTCACTCTAATTATTGTCCTTAACATTCAGGAGAGATTACTGGTAAACCAGCTTATTCAGCAACATTTCTTAATTCTTTATTGGTAAAATTTTTTTAGATCTTTTAGCGGATGCTGAAATGTATATTTTCACCTATTCTTTATGAAAAGCTATTTAAAATATATAATAATAATAAAAAAATACGGAAAAAGTACTGGCAATTTTCTGCCAGGACATTATACGGTATAATTTCACAGACATTTCTGCTAACTCTAAAACACAACACAATGCTGTGCACAATTCAAAACACAGATAAAACACAGGTAAACAATCTATATGAAAAATTCCTTATTGATAAGACAAAAAAAAAATGGAAATATAGCATTCCCAAGTTTGTCCCCATGGTTGAATAGCACATTATAATTGTATTAAATTATGAATTATTTTGTTAAAATCCAAAAACCCTCTGTCTATTATCAAACATTACATTTGTTAGAAAATATGTTGCACTTCATTTAAATTTTATTAATAGAATTTTGAAAAAAAACAAACAAAAAAAAAACTAATTTTTTCAATACAGGATGATCACCGACATACTTTAAACCCCAACTGTATTGTGATTATTGTTTATTCTGCTTTCATGAACTAATTGAGGGACTCATGGAATATTTGTACTTATACTTTTTAAAATTAATTTTAATTTGAAAGCAATACAAAACCATTAAAATAAACTAGAGAAAAAGGGTGATAAAAAGAAATTGTTACTGGATATAGCATCTAAACGTATTTTCTCTTATACAAACGCATACATTTTAACCAGAATGTTCAATTTCTATTTACTATAGAAATTTCCATTCTATTTCCATTTGTGACTTATCCAAATACATTTTTAAAATCTACACTAAAAAATACTGGGTTGTATTTAACCCAGCATTTTTTAGAGTGTAATTTAGACCTAAAGCTTCTTTAAGCCTATGAAGCACAAACACTTATCTGTGATTTGAGGGGAGTGGGATAGCACCGGCTTGTGAGTCTGCACCCTTCAGGCAAATGAGACATGCAGGTTTAGCCATCACGCTGTGTTATGACGTACTTCGAGTCTTTCCTCCTGTTAGATAAATTTGCAGCTGAGATGGTTGCTCATGGAGATGGCGACTGCTGGATTAAACAGTAGCACTCACGCAGTCTGTTCCATTGTTAGGCCAAATCCAACCGAGAGGACAAGCTTTGAAGATTATAGATTATACCTGCCATGCTGGCTTTGGGATTCATGTTTATTTTCTATAAGGACAAGCTGAAGTTGCCAATAATAAGTAGCTTGTTTGTCACTTACCGACAAGACCCAAAAGATTTTTGAAAGCATGTGCTAATCAATGTATAGTACTAATTATGCATGTAGTATGGTTATCATATTTAGAGACTCCATAGTGGCAGCAGTCATTTAAACTCGTTTGACAGAGTTGCAAGCCTTATCTAAGGGCTTGCTGATAAAGGTTAATTTGCATTATGTCACACTGATTAGGATACTCAGAAGATTGGAGACCTTGTACTTTCCTTGTACTATCCTTGTAACTTTATTAACATTGTTATACAGGATTTCTAACTAAAACTGAGGTTGAGATTCTAAGTGGACATATTCACTGGTTTATTGATTTTCCTTATAAATTATAGTGAATTGTATTAGATATAAAAAAACATATCTAAATTTGACTGTGGAAAGTACGTGTTGTCTTTTAAATGTAATAGATTTTCACCATGAATTCAATGGTTATTCCGAATTAAATTAGGTTTTAATGGTAAAATTTAATGTATTGTTATTTTTTAGTGAAATAAAATAAAAAGAAAATCATGAAAAACAATAAAAATCATCATAAAATTGGGTCAGTAAGAAGTATCAGTAAGATTTGTTTTTTGAAAGAAATTAATAGGTTTCTTTTATTCAGCAAGAATGCATTAAATTGATCAAATGTAACAATAAAGACATTTGTGACCCTGGAGCACAAAACCAGTTTTAAGTCGCTGGGGATATGCATTGCTAAGAACTTCATTTGGACAACTTTAAAGGCAATTTTCTCAATATTTTGATTTTTTTGCACCCCCAGATTTTCAAATAGTTGTATCTCGGCCAAATATGCAAACCATACATCAATGGAAAGCATATTTATTCAGCTTTCAGATGATGTATAAATCTCAATTTCGAAAAACTTTAAATTTTATTTAAAGTAAATGCTGTTATTTTGAACTTTTTCTAATCATAGAATCTTGAAAAAATGTATTAGGGTTTCCACAAAAATAAACCAAATCAGCATAATAGAATGTCTGAAGGATCATTTGAAGACTGGAGTAATGGCTGTTAAAAATTCAGCTTTGCCACCACAGGAATAAATTGCATTTTAAAATATAATCAAATAGAAAACATTTATTTTAAATTGTAAAATATTTCCCAATATTTCTCTTTTTACTTTTTTTTTTTTTTTTGTAATAAATGCAGCCTTGGTTGCAGCCTTTTAAAAAAATTTTTAAATTAGTAATATTTTCTACAGAATACCATTTATGGTTGCTCGCAGATATTTATAGAATTTTAAGTAGTGAAAATTGTTGCAACTTTGTATTGTCAGCAGCAGGTGCCAAAAGTTCTACTGTAGGTGACCAATACCGTTCTAAACATGCAGATCATTTATTTGCTGATGTGGCTAAATACTAACGCCAGGGTGTAACAGTTATTACACTGTGAGTATTATAGCAGTTGTCACTTTACTCATGATTAGAGACACTAAATGTGCTAATCCTGAATATATGAAGGTCTTTTATTTAAGCTTTGCAAATAGGTACCAATAACAGGAAGAAAGCGTTGAACTGAAATGTTGATGGGTCTTGGTTACCCAAAATAACTTTGCTAACATTTGTTGCACAAGTCTGAAGGGTTTATCTTTACAGCTCTAGAATAAGTTCACATGATTGTGTAACTGACAATGCTTTTAAGGCTCTGTCAAGGTTCGCTGGGTTGTTATGAAAGCTTGTGTAAAGTGTGCTGGACTGAAACATGAACTTGAACAAGAGATCTTTACCATAGAATTCATTGAATCTCTTCTGGGCACAGATTTTTAGTGTTTTATCACTGTTTGCTTGTTATTCCTTTTTGTTCACAAAAGTATGCTTTGTTTGTTTCTTTGTATAAAATCTAAAACGAAACCTCATAGATTATATATAGATATAAATTATATTATCATCGATTAATAATGTCACACCCATGAATATCCGTTGAATCTGTTGAGATCATCTCCTTTGTTGTCAGTCATCTGGAGGATATTGCATAATGCAGATCTGTTCTAAGACTTTATCGCTAGTGGCTTTGTGGAATGAGATGTAATTTAGGGAACGTAACGTTCCATGATTATAGTTAACATGCATCTGATAGCTGATGTTCCCACTGATGTGGTGTAATGTAATTAAG